TGCATCAAACAGTGGACGACTCTTGTGAGCCTCAAGTTGTGCGCTGCGGGTTTCATGATGAAGAGTTTAGGGCCTGTTAAGGGGTGAGGACTTTTTCGGACTTGAACTCAGACTAACTTCGTTGCCACAAGAAAAGAGCACAGGATAGGCATCTACTCCGCAACTTTTGCAAAGACACCGAGCAAGCCTCTTTCAAGATGTAGCATGTCACGGGTTGTTGTCGACCCCCAAGCAGCGTTCTATTTCCAAAGCCACACAAGGCAAGCCCCCGGATGTCATGCCCTCAAGCTCTGTTTCATGTGTGTGCCTGTGTGTGTATATATATATATATACATCTATATATTTGCATTCCATCTCGCCGATTCCCGAAAGTTTCCGACAGTTCAGCATCAAGATCAGCCTCAACACTGGTCCGAAAAGTCTTGAGCTGCAAGCAATCATCCTTTTGGAGCGCGGCTGCTTCTGGGCGGATGTCGACGACAAGGAGTTTGGTAAGTGGCCTGGTCCATACAGTCTCCTGCGCTGTTTAGGGCATTCAGGTTTGAAGCCCTTGCTGTTCCTAGTGTAGGGTTTGCAGAAAATTCGATTAAGGTGCAGGCTGCAGGCAGCCAGGGATGTACTTGGAGGATCGCGGGACTAAGTAAGTAGTTAGTTTAGAGACTTATAAGTACCATAGCCCCAATTAGGGTCCCTTTTAAGGCAATTGTAAGTCTACTTAGTACCTACTTGCTAAGTCCCCCGGCCCTCCAAGTACGGTTTGTGGCTCAGCAGCGAGGCGTTGCGGGTAGTTGCGAGGCCCCTTTAAACCACACATACCAGATGTCCGAAAGTTTACTTGGTAGCTGAGTAGGTAACCTTTAACCTTTTGGGTTTTATATACTCCTACGGTTGATGATTTAAATCCTGCATTACCTTAAGGGCCCTAAATTATGGGAATTCTGAGCATATTTCTTATTGTGGGTAATGCAGGATTTATATCATAAACCGCACCATAACTGCCAAGGCGCACCTCTTCTGGGCTAGGGTATTCAGCCCCTAAGTTCAATCCTAAACAAAAAAATCTTAAAACCCTATAATTACGGGACCCAAAAAAGCACATAAGCATAAGCATTTTATAGGGATATCACTACCTTATTGGGCTTCATTACAAGGGGGTTTATATGGGAGATCCCTATCCTAATTTTTGCTTATGTGGTTTTTTGGGGCCCTAATAATAGCTACTTAAGGACTTCGGTTCTTAGAGGCTCAGGCCCGATGCTGAGGCCACCGGATATTGCGTCAGAACCTGAATGGTTTCAGGTTTCTTTCAGGGGATCTTTAGGGGTTCCTTTTAAGGGATCCATAGGGTTTAGAGTTTGGGATACATCAGCGCTTGTTTATGATACTTACTTAGCCCGTGGGTGAACTTTAACCTCGTTGGCTTATGTATTTGATCTATCTTGGCAAGTTTGGACTTTATTGGGCCCGGTTATTGATGAAGAGAGATTAGGGGCCTCAGTACATTGAATACACTTTTAAGGATATTGGATGCATAGTGTATCACACTGGCGCCCTAAGCCCAAAACGATTTTGAAGTCTAACGAGCTTGCAACTAGACCTTGAAGGATTTCAAGCCGGGAGTTCGCAGACTTCGGTGCTTTACCGTAAGGGTCCATGTACCAAAAAGGTATCTACTTTTTGCACCTAAAGTAATCGCTATTTACGTACTTTTAGTGCCAAAGTGTAGGCTGTTTCGGGTACATAGGCCCCTAGGGTTGGAGAGTTGAACTACATGGTTATGTTGGGTCGAGGCCTTTGGGGGCCCCATGGCTTCCAGAAGTGACCCCCTAAAAGCTAAACCTTACATCCTAAACCCGAAGACCCCTAAGCCCTAAACCCGAAAACTCATAGCCTCCATCTCCTGGCCGGTGGCCTTATGTAAGATCAGATGGTCGGGCAGACGTGGACCAAGAGCTAGCCAAAAACACCTAAACCCTAAACCCTAAACCATACAGCCGAAAGGTGGATGCCCCGATGGTGATGTGACGTCAGACCGTCCTTGGGCTGTCAGCGGCAGCATGGCAGCTTGGGCCAAAATGGAAGCTCTAAAGGGAACTCCAGAAAGTGGAATGTGGTTTCAGGGTAGGATACCTTATAATTTACCATAGAAGGGTTAGGATAATCATATTCCAACTTTCTGGCTTCTACCTTATGTACATGTATCTGTTTATCATATTTCATGAATTGTATATATACGTATAGATGTATGTGTATAAATACATAGATAAACAATCATACGTGTAGATGTATATATATACTACACACTGCAGAGAAACGTAGACGGTAAACCTTATGCCTTAAAGCCTAAGCCCGGAATGGCTGCCGAGTGTCGGTGACCCTGAAGAACGATTGGAGGCTGAGGCCATGTACAGCGCATTTTGTAGTATTCTTTCGGGGTTTAGGGTTGAGAGTGAGTTGAAATGAGTGG